GTGCCATTCCACATTATTACAAATAACTTCATTTCTGGCCATTTATGGTTTGATTTCTTTGTATGTATGGATCACTTGGGTTGTTACGAACATCTGGTGAAAATTTCATGTCATTAGCGCCTCTAGTAATATTTTTAATGAGAAAAATGGTGACGTGTTCAATACTTATTTTACCCGCTGTATGTATTGCGTTTTCAATTAAATATTTTTAAAAAATCATTTCTTTTGCAGGAGGAGTTCAAAAACATGATCGAGGACGTGGGTTTCTGCCGCGTGCAGTACTCCAACCTCTCGGCCGGTGTGGTGGCTCTTCACTCCGGTTTCAAGCTGTGAGCTGCAGTCAGGAAGCACCACAGCAGTCCTGATGGGACCAAAAGCTCGAGCTGTACGTTTCAGGCCCACACGCCTGTTTAAGACTAGTTTATCCCTCAGAGCTGCAGATCCCACTGAGCAAAGAGTACGGGAGTCAAAGGTCGGTGGATGTTATTTACTGAATAACCTTGAACTGCACTTTTAAATGACTCCACACAGTATTTTTGTAATACAAGTTCTTTTCTTAAATAAAATCTGTCTGGACTTATCGTTTTGTTTTGATGAGGTAATAAAAACAGGACAGAACATTGAGTTACTTGGATGAAACTGTATATTTTACAGATCTTTGTACACTTTAATTACAAAACTGTATAGTACTAAAGTCTTAAAATCAGTTTTTTTTTTGGTCAGAGAATATTTAATCGTTTTGTGTGCAATTACCATGTATATACAAAGTCTCATGTTAGTGATTTCTCTCCAAAGAAAGAACCAAACAACTCATACACTCTGAACATAAGACATGGCTTAAAGATAAATATATTAGCAAATAAATATTCAGAGAACATAGTTCCATTTATGAAATGTGTTTTGCTATACAGGTACAGAATATACACAGATCGATTTCTAGCTTCTTTTGTTTCTTTTTAAACATTTGTAATGATATGACAGAAAATAATTACTCTTAGAAAATTAAAAAATATTAAATTTTTGTACACATTTTTAATCTTTTTAAGTGCTAGAAACAAGGACAGAAAAAAAAACAAAAAACAATTTAAATAGCGACTCGAGTACCCCGAAAACGTTATATTTGCAGTATCTATGCAAAGGCAAGATTAGATTCTGACTTGATTACAGCACTGGGTTAACTTATAAATAGGGTTATTTCAGGTTTTCCTCTGTGCAGAGAACGTGGATATTTCATAGAAACAGTATTAAAAAAACAGTCTGCAATACAAACAGAAAGGCGTGAATGACGAGTCGATATTGCATGAATGTGTTCCGTACGGCGCGTTATGATTCAGACCTGTGGACTCTGCTATGTAGAACTGCATCGTTTAAAAAGAATAAAGTCACAGTACAACAAGGAACTCGTGTGAAATAAGTGTTTCAGCTACTTTCCTTTGGCCTTTTAGATACAAACTAGAACCTTTTGTTGATATAAGAGCATGCCTCATAGAGGAAACTGGTTATCTGACAGCAAAAATACACTTTTTAAGGGTTTCCAAAACACCAAGACACTTGTTTTGGTCAGAAATGTGACCGTAATTTGTGCAGTGTCGTTTGATATTGCTGCTAATATCTCACTAGAATAAGGCTCTGACGTAGTTCACCTTCTGCTCGAGGCCACAATGGACTGAAATGAAATACATGAATATATTCTGTACATTGATTGGACACCAGTGTCAGCCTTGCATTCACATTTCTTTGCTCTGCTGTGTTTTGCTTTCTCCTCCTCCTCCCTGGAGAAACGTGTCACAGCTAGAGACGAATATTTCTACTTTTCAAATATAAAAAAAACAACAATCGTGTCTTTCTGTTTTGGTATATCCATATCCAGATCAATTTGTTTGTACCCTTTTGTTGAAGAGAAAACACTAAATGCTACGGAACATCTGTGGAAAAAGCTGAAACAGCTGGAACAGTTTAATTATGAGTGGGCTGAAGATAACCTCAAACGGTTGCGCAACGAAATATAAAGTTAACGGTATCGAGTATCAAATTTCATCCAGTAGAGGTCTCTGCAGTACATGTTGGGTAGGCGGAGTTTACCCTGTGATTGTGGAAGGTCTTGGTGTGGGCGGAGTCCTAATCATGATTGGCAGTTGGTGTGTGGGCGGAGTTTTCCCTAACCGTGATTGGTCGGATTGACTTGTCTCGTGGGGCAACTTCAAATTGGAAGTAATGGAAAAAGTAAAATATGATTTATTGTACAGTTTAAAACAGAACAATGACTTAAAAATTGTGAAAATGTAAACATAATTTATTGACTTCAAATTTTGTGTTTCTTGAGTTATAACTTAATGTATGTTTAAAAAAACAGAGGTGCTTCCTGTCCGAGCTGCCCCCCAGCTTCTTCAAACCCCACCATCAATCTGACCAATCACGTCTTGTGCCGACTCCTCCCACAAAATAAGAAACGCCTACTTAATGACTGCAGAAACCCCCTGCTCAATTTTGCTCCACGATAAATTGTCTCAGAAATTGTGATAAACGATAATGTTCAGATTTTATTTTAAACTAAAATGATGGAAAATTTGCGGAAGTTTACTGAATTTACTAAGTGTAAAAAAAATGAAATAACTGTGAATCAAAAGTTTGGCAAGGTGCACCGAGGGTGTCGCCAGCTGAAAGAATAATTATCGACATAGTTTTAATTTATCATACGATTAATTCATTTATTTATCGTGACAGGCCTCAATTTATTAGTCTGATTTTTTTTATTGACCCAAAACTCAAAAGCAGCGTCTATTTTCTTGTCTTTAACAACAACAACAAAAAAAAGGGCACAAACAAATTTTTGCGTTGAACCTTTTTAGTTGGTGGTTGAAGCTTTATAGGCCGTCAGTGTTTCTATAAATCTATTTATGCAACCGTGTGTGAATAAAAAAAATCTACTTTTGACAGGAAAACTCAATTTCCAACAGCTTGCACACACGTGAAAAAAAGTAATAAATTTGAAATTGGGGCTTAGAACACCAACCCTTCGGGCCAGACACAAAGATTGTTAGACGTAACTGCAGCTGAGTCTAGAGACGTTTTGCGGCCACAGGAATGAACGCGATACGTCGCTAATCTAGAAAAAAAATCAGGCCATTTCAGTAGAAAACCACACAATCTAAGATGATAACATTCAAGGTGAGAACAAGGCAACGCGGGGTTTCGACAACCGGCTGACACCGTACCACATCGTTTATCGCTTCGTCCTAGACTCATACGCCCAGATCCCCCTCACTTCGTGAAGTACTGCTTCCCGGTGCAGGTGGGCTTGCAGGGAGCTGAGGGTGGAACAAAGCTCTGGTCTCCTCCGCCGGACCCCTCAGCTGTCCTGAGGGGAAGTACCTGTCCTTCTGTTGCTGCCCTGTCCGCAGTTCTGATCCACCGTGAAGCTGACGGGCAACAAGCGGCTCTGGGTCTCTTCCCCCGAGCCCCGTTCACAGTTCGTGTCCTCGGGAATTATGGGTATTCTGTGGTTGAGTTCGCAGCAGGCGTCCGAGTCCGCGTGTGCGTACTGCACGTTGACGGCGTAGTCCTCGGCGAAGTGCCCCGCCGCGGCCCGGTGGACCTTCATCTCTTTGTAGAAGCAGCACGGCAGCCCCTCGTAGCCCACCTGCTCGGAGGTGGGGCACAGGCGCTCCGGAACAAAGTAGTTCTTCGACGGGGAGCTCTGAAAGTCCACCCCTCTTTGACAGCGCCCCGAGGCTACGGGCCCGGCTCGGTCCGAGTCCTGCCCTCTGCACTCGGCGCCGGGAGGAACAACCTCAAAGCAGCAGCCGCACGCCGCCGCCCCGAGTTCCACCGACTCCTCCGGGACCCCCTTCCCCCTGTCGGCTGCAGCGGCCTCGGGAGCCCCGGCTGAGGTAGTGCTGCTGTTCTCCCTGGGCTCCAGTGACGAACGACCGCTGTAGTTGGGCTCCGAGCTGCAGTTGGAGTGGTGGTCCCCCGAGTTGTACCCCAAAGCTCCCGAGGGAAGCTGCAGGCAGTCGTGTCCCAACGAGGCGGGGATCGACGAGTCTTCAGCAGGAACTGTGGCGCACGCTGCGGCCCCCGACTCCCCGCCGGAGCCCCTGCAGGGACTCTTACTCCGGTACACGTAGGGGTCGTAGTCACTGCTCAACGAGCTGCGGAACGTGGAGCAGCTCCCGTAGACCCCCTGGTTGCTGACCTCGGTGCAGTCCAACATGGAGTCGCTGGAGGAGCAGTGGCACTGGCCGGAGCTGCTGCTGCTGCTGTCGCTGCCGGGGCAGTCGGCCAGGTAACCGCTGCACACCGAGCGCTGCCCGTGGTAGCAGCTCACGCCCGACGCGCTGCCGCTCTCGCCCATCCTGGAGGAGGTGGGAGGGGCCATGTGCACCACCGTGGGGTACAGGAGTCCTTGCTGAAAGGCTCTGCCGTGGTGGCCCTTGTGGGCTCCCCCGCCGAGCTGCCCCGGCAGGGCGGGCCCCTGGCCCCCCTCGGGCGGCTGAGGGAAGGACAGGCCCTGGAAGTAGTAGTGCTGGTACATGGTCTCGTACTGCGAGAAACACGCCGCCCGGGAGAAGCTGCGGCCGTGGAACTTGGGTCGCTTGAAAGCGGCGTGATGCGGCTGCGCGGGGTAGGCGGGGGGTCCGCGGTGCTCCAGTCGGCAGTGGTGGGGATTCAGCGAGTGCTCCAGGTGGAGGGTGGGGTGGTAGCTGCGCAGGAAGGCAGACGTTGATTGGGATGGGTAGAGACCCTGAGGGTCTGGGTGCTGGTCCACGGTGAGAACAGTGATGGGGTTGCCGTGGGGGTCCATGCTGGTTCTGGTCGGGTAGGCGGTCATCTGGCCGGCTCGGTGCACCCTGCCTGGGTAATGGACCGGAAGCACCACTCGCTGCCTGCCGTGGATGGATCCTGGGTCGATACACGCCGGTCCTGGGTTTCCCTTCTTTTGCTCTGCAGTAGAAAAACAAAAGATCAACTTCAGACACCTGCAGGAACATTTTTATAATGTTTTAGGTGAATAAGTGAATCACAAACCAGGTTTACATGGTAATCAGAGTAAACGGCCAATTGGGGGAAAAAAAAGCGTCACATTATTGCCCCAATCGGAATATTAACTGATTCTGAATTTGTAATCCACATGAGAGGAGTGGTTTATGCCGACTGATAATCTGCGTGTGAAGACGTACTCTGGTTGTGGACGAACTCACCGATGATGTTGTGTCTGCAGTGGGGGCAGGTGTGATGCTGGAGCAGCCAGGGGTCGACGCACTTTTTATGAAATCTGTGAGCACAAGGGATCACCCGCAGCTCCTGAGGAGAGAAAACAAAGAAACTTTCATGTATAAAACCTTTTAAAAATACAGAAATATGTTGATTACAGCAACTGACATGTTTAAATAGAGCAACAAAGTAACAGGTTTGGAAGCTTAAAAACCAAATCAACAAAAAATGAGGAACAGTTTCCTTCCAGAAGCATTCAGCAGGAACTCTCTCCATTTAAACTATGGCTGAAAGAAATAAAAATACACTTGCTTTGTTTTCAATATTATTGTTTTTAAATTTTATAGCTTCTCTATTATTGCTTTGTGTTTTACAATTAGGACCTCATCAAAAATACGATGTTAAAAAATACAAACGATGCACGTTCCCCAATTTTACCAGAATCCCTTTTCAGTACCTGTAACTTTATTTTGTCTGAGGGAACTAATGTGGAGTTATGTAGCTGGATGTCCACAAGGTGGGAGCAAAGACACATAAAAATGTAAATAAAATATGCAAGTCAGAGAAACAAACTTAACTGTTCCACACAATAACACGATTACAGATTCTAAAAATAATCGTTTCATAAATTAAAACAACACGCTTGTTAAAAAATAATGCGATTTGCATTCGTGTGAATAAATTCTAAGAACGGAGCACTTTGAGCAAGACGTCTTTTACTGGCAGAAGCCGTTGCCTAAAATGTGACTCATCTTCAGCTTCTTTTGTTGCTCAAAAACCTCTTTGATGCCATTCAGCCTTTTATATTGCCACTTCCTTCTGTGCGATCCTGGCGCCACACTTTGTGTTTTCTTCTCTTCCCCCCACCAAAAAGACTCACACAACCACAGGACACACACAAACACAGACTGCGTCCCCCTGAGGCGACGGGGTTTGTCCCTCCAGCGTCCATGAATAAAGGATGAGCAACGCAGTTACAGTAAAAAAATAAAATAAAAAAACCCCTCAAAGTCCAAGACTGGAAGGCATTTTTTGACAGTGACTCGATCCAGGATTAAAGGAGGACCACCGGTGGGAAAACAGGAAGTGCAATCACAGCGCGGCGCGCTCTGGGTGCCCCTTATCTCACCAGGTGCTCTGAAAGACCGAACTAAAGATCTGAAAAGGTGGCGGAAAGGACGTGAGCAAAGATGGCGGGACTGCGGTCCCCGAGCCCATCGGGGGGACTTCCATTCTATTGTCCGTGAAACTGCGTTTTGTTCCACGTCTGGGGAGAACGTGGTGAACAGAAAACAAACTCAGAGGCTTTAAGATCACAGGGGTCAAGAGTTTAAAGGCTCAGCTCAAACATGACTCAGCAGATTTAAATAGAAACAATCAAATCAAGGAGTTTGTGTAAAATATTTAGATTTGTGTGAAGGCTTCACAAGCATTATTCACACTAAAATATTCAGCTCCTTCAGGACATTCAGGACTTTTGGTATTTCGGCTGTTTATACTTTTGTAGCCATTTCACTTGTTCGGCCACATTTTCCCCACTGAAAATGAATGGAGCTGTTTTCAACATCCTTAAAATCCTTCAAAATGTTTTTAAATATTTACAGCAATAATATAATATTTTACAATAAATGGTCACTTTTGTGTACCTTTATGATTTTTTTTCTTCTGCTAATTTAAAATTTTCTACACTTTTATGATCTGGGTGCTAAGATCAACTTGGGACTTAGCTAGTTTTTTATGCTAATTTTAGCCATTTTCAGCTATAATTCTGCTTCTTTCTGCTACTTTTTGTGCTTCTTTCAACTTTTCATATAGAACTGGCATTAACAGTTTTGCTATAAAACATTTTCAGCTCCATTTCAGCAGCTCTCAGCTAAAGTTTTCAGCAGTAAGCATTCACAGTAGCATTTACACAGGAAATGTTGGGATCATTTTTTTCTTCTGGATGTTTTTCAGAGCTTACCTCGCGACAATTTTTATGCTATTTCAACAATTTATATATGAAATCGTTCAGCTCCTTCAGGATGTTCTGGCTATGACTTCTGATATTTCAGCAATTTATACTTTTTGAGATATTTAGCTAATTTGGCCGTTTTTTTTCCTCATTGAAAATGAATGGAGCTGTCTTCAACATCCTTCAAACCATTTAACATGTTCAGAAATCTTTAACTTCCTTGTGATAATTTCAGCTTCTGTTTAGCTGATTTTAGCCTTTTCTTCACTCTGCACTGCTTTCTTTCAGAACTTGTTTTTTATCCCTTTTTCTTTTAAATTATTGTATTTTGATTGATTGATTGATTGATTATACTTCTAGAAGGCGACCTATGGCATATTATGGTCAAAGGTTTTCTATTGCTAGTGACCGATGTGTTTGCAACTCCTACAT